AGTGCAGAGTCATCTCGACAGAGGAACAAGCTCAGCACCCGCTCAGTGTACCACTAACACAATCTCACGCTGCCCGACTTAGCTGCTGAGAGTGGAGATAAAAATAGCACTGCAAGAGAGAGAGAGAGAGAGAGACAAACAGACAGAGAGAATCAAAATAAAAGAGAGATGCCCACCCGTGGCTGATGCATGCCAGTTGGGAAATGCCAGGTGAAAGCAGTCGCACATGATGGCGATCTTCTTTTGGAGATTTCAGTCGGTCAGTCTCACTCTTCGTTTGAGGCTACAGTGCAAGCGTGCTTCTTGCTCTTTACTTTCAGTCAGCCTCTCCTCTTGCAGAGGACAAAGAAAAGTCGGAGAATGCTGGAAACGACAGCGAGGCAGCCACGGAGAGAGCCATCCACACTAGTTTGTCCTTCACAGTGATGGGCTGCACTCCCTCAACTAAAACACTCTGAGGGGAGTCTACGTCTGGCTTGGTATGGAGGGCTGTGCTAAGCAATCCAAATACCTCCTTCTGAAGACCCACTCCTCCCTCATTATCACTTCTGTCCAATCCCTGCAGAGATGCTGCAGATTGCTCCCCAGCTGATTGGTTTGTGATGCAAGAAAAACATTCCAGATTTATTGGAATGTGGCAGAGATCCCTAATTGGGTTTGAGAAGGACAGAGGATGTTTTGATGTCTGTAACAAGGGGAGCTGAGGATCCAGCGTGTCAGGTGACTGGACTGCATGTCTGATGGTCCTTATGAAACCGTTTGGTCAGATGTACCCTGTGAAATCAAATATAGTGTAATCGTTCAGCATCTTCCAAAGCACAACTTGTTTGACTGGTTCTTTAGCTGCTCATCCATTTGTTAAAATGTTGTCAACACTGGCTCTTAGATGAGCTGAAGCTGCTCGTGACATTAAGCTGATTCTTACGTTGAAGTGGGAAAAAATGTATTAATCAGCCACCAAGTGTTTAAGTTCTCCCGCTCCCAAAGAAGAGAGAGGTCAAATAAATACCTCAAATGTGAGACAAAAACAAACAACGAACATAATTTGAAGTTGGATTGTTTTAAACAAGTTTTACAAACAAAACTGTTTATGGTTGCCAAGGTAGAAATTTTGATTGCCATGGAAGAGTCTCTAACATCATACAAAGTTGCATGATGCAAATATGAGTCACATAAAACAAACCCCATGTCTCTATGGTTTTTCTTTGCTGATATAGAGATATGTCAAATTGGTTGCTAGGGTAAACGGTTTGGTTGCTAGGGAGCTGGTGGTGCCGACTACTGTGTTTTGGAGTGAAGTGCTTCCAAATGTTTGTCAAAATTTACATTGTAGATTATCTAATGTATAATCCCCAGACATGTTTTGGGGAGTGACGTTCGTTTTAATGGACACAGAGTCTGAAGGGGTTAACTTGAAGGAGGCAAGATATAGGACCTCGGATGTGAGACGAAATATAAAAAACTAAACGGCTATAGTTTGTGCACAAACTTTGATGTTAGATTGTTTTAAACAAATTTTCATGAACAAAATTGAATGGTTGCCAAGGTAGAAGCTTTGGTTGCCATGGAAGTGTCTCTAACATCATACAAAGTTGCATGATGCAAATATGAGTCACATAAAACAACCCCCATGTCTCCATGGTTTTCCTTTGCTTATATAGTGATATGTCAAAATGGTTGCTAGGGTAAACAGTTTGGTTGCTAGGGAGCAATCTGTGCTGGCTACTGTGTTATTGGAATGAAATGCTTCCAAATGTTTGACTTTATTCAAAATTAACATTGTTTATTATCTAATGGATGCTCCACAAACATGTGTTGAGGTGTCATTTTGATTTACACAGGGTCTGAAGAGGTTACCTTGAAGGAGGCTCAGTGGTGGTTTCCTCTGTAGGAGGACTAGTACTTCACCAGGTCACCTGGTGTGAGCGTGGGTTTCCTCCAGATTTCTCCAACGCTTCCAAGTCTGTTAATAACACTAAATTACCCCATATTTCAACATTCTCAAACATGATAATAATTAGGCTCAGTGACCTATAACCCCTACCTAAGCCTCTGTTTAGCTCGACCACAAGTAGTGCATTAATGTTAGAGGATAAGTACTGTTTAAATTCTCCTGAATAAAGCATGGGTCTACATGCCCCTTCAAACAAAGCCTGGAGCAAATTTAAAAGAGAATTTAAATTCGGGGAAATGGAATGAAGCATTAGAACTATTCTTCACACATTCAGCCTGGTCCCTATAATGTAAACAATTAGCAATGTAATAGTTTCACCAACATAGTTTCACCAGAACTACAGCTACAGTAGCAGCACTTGCTGCAAATCATGACCAAACCTCATCTAATGCTGAGACCAGCAGCTAAATTATGTATTAGTTCTTGTCCAAGAATGAAAAATGATTACAGAAAGGTTCCCGACATCAGTGTTAGCCTGAGAGAAGCCATCAGAATACAGCAGCAGTGATTCATGTCATCCGTGGATGTGAAATAATACGTTTGATGTTGTTTTGTCATCACAGTTACTGACTGGCGGTCTCAAAGCAAATAAACAATGTCATTTTAGTGAAACAAATAAATAAAACTCAAGCTCAACAGTCATTCGCATGTTTTTCCTGAATCAGTGATCAATATTTCTAATGATAAATGAAGCAGAACTGGTACCAGGAAAGATTGCAGATATTCTGGTTCCCTTCCATAGATGTCTTGCTTCACCATCTCTCTCTCTCTCTCTCTCTCTCTCTCTCTCTCTCTTTCTCTGCTAATTGATCGATTTCTGAGGCTTATTAGTAATTCCATGTTCATTTAAAGATAACCAATGGTCTTTTGGCACAATTTTTTTTTATCTTTCGTGTATCCCTCAGATTCTCTGTTGGATTTGACCGTTTCTAAGCATTTCTTCAGCAGAAGAGATGTTTGCTTTGAGTCATTCTCCTACTGAAAGCCAAATGTTTACATAAGCCAAGTTTTCTTCCGGACTGTCTGAGGTTCTGTTCATGTTTCACTCTGGGGACAGTGTTACACCTCCCAAACATCTTACAGTCCTCACTTTTCTCCAGGTCATCCATAGCAAACTTCATTCTGGCTTGGAGGCAGATCTTGTTTAGAGTCTTTCTTTGTCTGCAACAACGCAGTCCTGTGCAGGGAAATAATGATATCAATTCCACCTTTGCAAAGACCTTTGGCAGTTGTTGGGTCTTTAGCAACTTTTTCCAAGGTTTTTGAAATATTACACTTTATTTCACTATTTTTGTCTTTAACTGCATTTATAAAAAAATAAATGTGTTTCAGAAGAAACAATCAGTGCATGCCACCCTTCTCCCAACCCTATTAGTATTTGAGCCAGTCCTTTCTTGTACCAAGTGACTTTTACCCTGTCCATACGTACCCAGTTATTTTGAAAATGGGTATTTTTCTGCGCAGTTACGCTGTCCGTCCACGCGTATCCACAACACTGTTGAAAACGCATGTTTGGGGGGTGGAGTTTGTCATTGCCATCGTGCTCTGGCACTGTTGAGTTAGAAGACTATGTTCCTGTTTATTCCGCTACTTTTTCCGTTTACAGTATGTACAGAATTACATGCACATGTTTACTATTTGTTCACTGAACAGGGGCGGTTGTGTTTGTGCACATGCAGTGCTGAATAATAATTTTAAAAAGGCCATAATTCAACTGCAACCAAAAGGGCATTTTTTTAAAAGGACGAGTGTGGACATGGCCTTTGCATGAGCTTCACTCCTCCTTTTTATCCCAAAACTTCGGAATAATACGCCACTCACCATTATCTTTTGACAACAAGACAGCCCCTGGTGGTAAATTTGTATAAAATAAGGATGTAGTGAGTAGTGGAGGTAGGTTTTGATGTTTTCTTTAAAACAACCCTTCATATGTTACTTATTTCAACAGGGCTACTGTTAGGGAATGACCCAAATGATACTTGTTCTTCAAGCCTATGCATGGCCTACTATGCTAGAGTCTGACATGCCCCTACCAAAAATTCTAACCTCTGGCAGCAAATATGCAGATGATAAGGTCTGTGATTGGAGCAGGCCGTTTCTGGAGTGATGTCATACATTTCCAAGCGTCTCCACCATGGGCACAACACAAATTGAAGACCAACACGAACCAAATCACTGAGTGGTTTATTAAAGGAGTGCAGAAATATAACCACCTGTATGGCCGTTCTTTCAGCACAATACAATGATTGCAAGATGGCAGATGACAGGAAATCAAAACATCGTTGTTTGAAACTTTGCAACGAAAATTTGGGTCAATGCGTATTCTCTAGATTTCGCATCTCTAGATTCTCTAGATTTGACCTTCACGAACACTCTGAGGGGGGGAGTTTAGTTTTTTATTTGTTGGTTTAAGATTTATTAAGCCTTAACGTTATGCAAAATTAAGGGCGTGGTTTCTTGAGGGGCAGATGATTGACAGTTTTTTCAGCCCCTCTTGTCATGTGTCATCCTCTGACTTCGTTCATTTCAATTTCATCTGACGAACTCGGTTACTCCTTATGGTTTTTTTCAATGGTCATCTCAATTTTTTTTTGTGTGTGTGGTTTCTACCCACACGTCCCGCCTCTGTGCCCATTTTCAATTTCTGAGCCTCGTTTTACTTTGTGGGTGATGTCACTGTCCATACACTGTCAATGATGAGCATATAATAGAAGGTCACGAAGCAGAAGTACACTGCTCCCTAGTGTTTATGATGTGATACTGCAGGCATGTTGCACATACAGTTAGGCTTTGGAGTTGAAAACAAATTATTTAGGAGCTTCAAGGCACAGATTGAAAGAGACTTTGACCAAGTATGGATACAAGGAATTTGTGCTCTGCACCCATCCAAGTGCACACACACACACAGCAGTGAACAAACACACCGGGAGCAGTGGGCAGCCATGGCTGCGGTGCCCGGGGAGCTGTGGGGAACTGGTGACTTGCTCAAGGCCTCCACAGTCATGGTTGTCACAGGAGAGAGAGAGTTTCAACACTCACCCCACCTTGACTCCCAGTGGAGCGAACCGGAAACCTTTTGATCTCCAGTCAATCACCTTATCCACTAGGCCACGACTGCCATAAACAAGGTTTATGAGGTTTTAGGAGGTTCTCATCAGAGATTGTGATAGAACACTGAAAACCCTTAAAAACTTTTACATTTGGAGAAAAAGCTCAGATAACTTTGTTTGATATTCTGCACAGATGACCATCTCTCGGTCTGAAATGGGCAGAGGCAGGATGATACTGCATTAGCTCCTGGCAGATGCCCAAGAAACTTCACACCGAAATCAATTTAGGCTCTCGAGAAAAACAGAATGTGCTCTTCCACCATCTTTACAAGAGCTTCTTCTGGTAAGATCACAAAGAGCCCCACTCCTAAGCAGTTATGCTCCACAAGATCTATGATGTAACCTGTGTATGCAGCTCATCTTCTCCCTCTCCTTCCACCACCTGCCCTGTCCTGGATAAATAAGTTTATTTGCTCTTGTATCCATCCCGTGAAAACATTTTTAACTCCACTGCATCTTTTTAAACATACTTTCACTCTGTTCCTTGCTTTAAGATGTGAGCTGTCACAGCAAATCTAGTCAAACGCAAAGCATTAACAATATATTAACTGCCATCATCACAGCTAAATGGTAATGCAAGCAATCGAAAAGGACAACAGTCAAAACTTGGAAAGGTGCCAAAAAACAAGAGCTGTGTCCCAATCCAGGTTTTGCATCCTTTAGAAGGTGCAGCCTACCCAGTCTCCAGAGGCTACATCTACAGAGGATTCTTCGAAGCCTGCATCAACCGTTGGTAAATGGGACAGACTAGCCTTATTATGACCACAGAGTTTTATAAACTCCTCCATCTGCTCAATGCTTCCTGAAAATAGCTCATTCAGGAGGGTGCGTGGGTTAGCGTTATTAACTATGATGTTTTAAAATGCTACTATCAATACTAGAATCCCTACTGTCTTTAAATCCTTTCTGCTAATGCAGCAGCTATCATTTTTCCTTTGATATTTGGCATCGGTTTACCAGGAAGTGACTATTTTGTTTATTTGTGCATAATTTTAATTTGCATCTTTGGATGGCTATTGACTCATTGGCTCTAACAACTATGCTACATGGAGTACCACAAGGATCAGTTTTAGGCCCCGTTCTATTTTCCATCTATGTATTTCCCCTTGGTAGAGAAACTAGTTCATGCTTTCATCACCTGGAGACTGGAATACTGTAAAAGTCTCCTTACTGAACTCCCCAAAAAGACCAGCTCGTTCAGAATGCGGCTGAGCGGATCCTGACCAGAACTAGAAAGGCAGAGCATATCTCACCAGTTCTCAGGTCCATCCACTGGTGGCAAATGATTTTCAGAATAGATTTTAAAGTTACAAACAGGGATCTCAGATCACTGGGTTCAAATAAATTAGAGCAACCTTAGATTGAAAATCCTCTTTCGTTTACTATGCTGCCCACAGATGGAGAAAGCTTCCAGAAGTGATTAAGGCTGCTAATAGACGTAATTTAATACACATAAATAACACATATTTAAATATCCCCGAACAGTTCTGTCTCATGTGTTTCTCTATTTTAAAAAGTGTGCCACAAATGTTTGCAAGTGGCTGCAGGAATAAAGTGGAATTTGATTATTAACTGATCTCGAGTTCTCGACACTGCTTTCATCACATTGATTCATTCCATGCACAGCTGTCTTTCTGCGCATATATGTTCTGTATTTTTTACTTTCTCCATTGTAACTCTCTGTAAAGCACTTTGAATTATCAATGTGTATGAAGTGTACTGTCTAAGTTAACTTGCCTTGTCTTGATCTGCTCATGAGATGCTTGTCGGGCTCATCTTCCTCTTGTCATCTCTGTATGAAACAGATACTGTGTTGCTCTATTTGTAAAACACGGGGAAATTTGCTGAATTTGCAGTTCCAGGAGGAAGTGCTGAAGCTTTGGCATTAAAAGAGTTCAAGTAGCATCCAGCAGCAGAAATCACAGATAAACCCAGTTAAAGACCTGCTTCAGCATGTTTGGATGCTACAACAAATGTAGCAGACGTATTCGATACAAACGATGTGTCTAACATACACTATGACTTATACATCACATTTTATATCAACTGCAATGGAGTGGCGATCTATCCAGGGTGTACCCCCGCCAAATGTGCGGCACGGGCAGACCCCTGTGACCCCCAAAAAATGGAATAAGTGGCTTGGCAAATGAATGAATGAATGAACGAATTAATGAAAATTATATCAAACAGTCTTAAAAATTACATTGAAAATATGCATACGGCTATACAATGCCTGTGAATTTGACAAGCAAAATTAAAAATATTGTTAAAAAACAAGAAAAACATTTGAGTGTTGAGAAGAATTGTGATTGCTTAATAGGTCAAGTATTTATACTGAGGTCAAGGTCAAGTATATAGACTGCCTTGACCTTTGTGCATAAAAGTTACATGATGGGACTGTTGGCGTTAATTTTTTATTTTGTTAAACAAATGCATATACAGACTTAATGGTAAGTACACATGTGAGATATTGCAGACACAAACTGAGCATACAAGAAAGAAAAAAGAACAAAACCTAAATGATCAAAACATATTAATTGAAAAAAGTTCATGTTATCCGGTCTAGGAGTCCAAGAATAGTTCAAGTTCTTCTGCATTTTGTAAAAGATTTACAGCATTTTTCTTTTTCACACATTTCACAGCATCAAAGAAGTATAAAAGTTCCTTCTTAAAGGTGACTGTTGCCGTTTCTTGATGAGAAATGGATTTAGATTCCTGAGAGCAGATCTCTTGGATTTATGGTGCTGAATTGGGTCTAGCACTTCAGAGGCAACTGCTTTTTGGGTGTCTGCCTCACCTTCATTCAATTTCAGTTTGGGAGAAGTTTAGCTTTTTTTTTTTTTTTAGCTTTTTTCAACCACTGCCATAATTTACAAATTTCAAACACAGGGAACACTCGTCTAATCACAAGCACTGATCTGCACATATTTTTTTCCCATCTGTGTTTTAAAAAAGGAATATTGGTTGCAGGTGTGTGTACGAATAATTTTATGAATCTGATTTTGTCGTATTGCGCTCGCACATTTGAACTTTCTGACCTTTCTAGTTTTAGTCAGCATTCTCTATGCACTCTTTTGTAAATGAGACCCCAGAACAGGTTTCCCCTCAGTAAGTCATATTATTCACATTCATATTACTCTCAATCCTGACAAGATGATGGCTGCATGCGTTTCTTTGCAGGTCACCAGTTATAACAATGATTTCACCCTCCTTTTAACGTGTCAAGTCTGCCATTCGAACCCAATCGGCCTGATCTCCAGCCTTGTGCTCGTCAACATTCTCATCTGAGTTAACGAGACTATTACCAGAATGATCTCAGCAGCTCCTTTAGTGACAGCAATGAAAAGTTTTTTTCAGGATTAAGTTGATCTTCATGGTAAAGAAGGTCTACTTAATTAATCTGATCTCCCTTCATAACATTCTGGAGTGTATGCTAATTGCTATTATAAGAACCTAAGCAGCAACTTTTCCAATCTACAAATATTTATGTAATTCTCAAAACTTTTGGCCACAAGTGTACACAAGGTTGTGCTGCTTCTAATAACGTCTGATTTACTGATTTGGCCATTGGTGAACTACAAATAGACAGAGCTAAATTTCTAGGTAAAGGTTGTGAAAATATGCGCAGAATTCAAAAGAAACAAAAGAATCCATCTATTTTCTGAAACTGATTTTATTTATTAATGAGACTTTCACATCAAGAACTTCTATTTTTGTTTACATCACAAGTGTTATATAATGGGATTGTGGTTAAAAGCACAGTGGGTATAACTGTGGCATTCCAGTCAGAAGGTTGCCAGTTCGAGGCTCGTTGGTGACCTTCCTGGAAGGAGTTTGCATGTTCTCCCTGTGTTTGTGTTGGTTTCCTCCAGGTACTCCGGTTTCCCCCACAATCCAAAAACATGCAGGAAGTCTAATGAATAATCTAAATTCTCCTTAGGTGTGAATGTGTTTGTGGCCCTATGATGGATTGGCGACCTATCCAGGGTGTACCCCCACCACTCGTCCAATGTGCACTGGAGAGCAGCCCCTGTGAGGTGAATTTTTTATACCCCCGAAAAGGAATGAAAAGCTTAGAAGATTGATTGATTGAATGAATTAGAAGATGAATGCTAAGGGGGGTTGGGGACCCTTCAAAGTCCCATTTATAACCCCTTACTTACCCTCCATTGGTGTCCTGTTCTACGGTTCACACCTCGCTGACTCTCCTGTGTTGTTCCATTAACCTGGATATACTTTCCTGCACTTCAATTCCCCAATGGTCCTGCTCCCGGTACTCACCTGTTTGAAATCTTCTATGGTTACTCCTCCTGTGCTTTCTGCTATGAATGTGGCCATCCCAGGATCTTGGTGAAGATGCACCAATCTTTGGGGGGTTGGGGCATTGTTGCAGTCTGGCCTCCAGACTTGTGCGCTTAAAATGAGGACAAAATGCACTTGCATTCACAGACCTAGTGTCTAATGAGCAAACTTATCAGATGTATCTCTTCTGGGAGAATTTAAATCAACAAGAAGAAAGAAAATCGTCAACAAAATTGTCTTTTTAGAGTGCATTTATCTGCATGAAAACAAGTGGCTAGTTAGTACACTGTCCTAAATGATCTCTTGTTTGGATTCAGATCCAATGCACTTAAGAGACCTTTAACAGGACTCTGTAATGTATTCTCTTCAACTAATGTGCGTCTCATGTGACACTGGTGAAGTGCATCAGAATTCTACATCTAAATTTCATCATATGCTGAAGGAAGACTCTTCTCTGTCATGGGTCTGCTCTGAGCGAGCGAGGACGGGTGAATCGATTCACTGTTGATGCTCTACACCTTGAACTATGGGGGCATGTTGGGCATTCTAGGAATGCTTGGTTTGCTCTGATAATTAGATCCCAAGAGAAGGCAACACTTGTCGAACAGCAAACAATTTAATTCAGTTAATCAGGATTTTCTTAAGCTAATTCCAAACTAGACTAGGACACATTGAAGTATATTGTGAGAAACAGTTTGTTCAAAACT